TTTTGGAGTAATTCGACAGTAGAATTCCCATGACTGGATATTTCTTCTTCGTCTTCTTCTTCCAATCGAAGACAGTACCGACATTTTTGTTCCAAACAGGGTCTTCTGGATAGCCTGTCTGCGTTTCCATGGTTACGGCCTTTTCGGTGTAATATACAGAAATCGTACTGTTATAATCTTTCGATCCACCTAGCCATTTGTCCTTCAGGTTTCTTAAATTTTATTATCCATTGTAGACTGCCGTGATCACTCCGGATAGTTAAATTCCTGCCGAGGAGGTACGTATGAAAATGTTCTAAAGCTTTGATAACTGCAAGAAGTTCCTTACGAGTGACGCAATAATTTCTCTCTGATTTTCCCAAGGTCTTACTGAAATATTCAATTACTCTCTCCTCGCCATCTTGTTCCTGAGATAGGACGGCTCCCAGTCCATGTTGCGAGGCATCGCAATCTAATATGAATTCACCATTCTCTCGAGGATACGCCAAAATGGGTGCGGTAATTAACCTCTTCTTCAGCTCCGTAAAAGTTTGCTGGCAATCTGATGTTCAGTCGAACGGAATATTATTTTCTGTTAGGCGGTGGAGGGGTTTAGTAATTTTTCCGAAGTCTTTTACAAATTTCCTATAGTAAGTACATAATCCAAGGAAGCTTCGTTTATCTTTGGGTCGAGGCCAGTATCTTGTTGCTTGCGTTTTAGATAAATCCGTTTTTATTCCTTCTGCAGATACAACGTGATCAAGGTACAATACCTCTTTTTGGAAAAAGAAACATTTTTTAGGATTTAACTGGAGATTAGCGTTTCTTAATCTCGAGAAAACTTCACTTAGGTTTGTAAGATGGTTGTTGAAGTCAGTTCTTAGTACCATTACGTCGTCCAGATACAAGAGACATGTAGACCAGGTTAAACCCCGGAGAACTAATTCCATTAGTCTTTCGAAAGTAGCTGGTGCGTTGCAGAGGCCAAATGGAAGAACTTTAAACTGATAAAGCCCATTTCCAGTTGAAAATGCGGTTTTCCCTTTATCTTCTGGGTGAACCTCTACTTGCCAATACCCACTCTTTAGGTCTAGTGTTGAAAACCATTTCGAACCAGACAGGGTTAATAAGATGTCATCAATTCTGGGCAACGGAAAACTATCTTTCTTTGTCACTTCATTAAGTCGGCGGTAATGAATAGGTTGGGTACAAAGAAGACAAGAACAACTCCTCTTCATCCTCAATCCGATGGCATGGTAGAACGGTATAACAGAACAATCTGTCAGTATCTATCAATATTTGTGTGTGACAATCAAAATGACTGGGATAAACTAAAACCGATATTCTTGCTAGCATATCGCAGTTCTGTGCATGAATCAACAGGATATACTCCAGCAATGTTGACCACTGGCAGAGAAATAAGGTTACCCATCGACATTTTAATTGGTTCGGATCCTCCAAATTTAGACAAAGTCAAAATTCCTAAATTTGTCCAAGAATTACAGGATCGACTCAATCAAATTCAGGACTTTGCAAGAAAACATCTTAAAATCACAAGTGACAGAATGAAGACAAGGTTAGACTGCAAAACAAATGAGTCAAAATTCGACAGAGGTGATGCAGTGTGGCTCTATAACCCGAGAAGAAAGAAAGGTCGCAGTCCAAAACTTCAGCGCAACTGGGAAGGTCCCTACACTATAATAAAGCGCATCAATGACTTGGTCTATCGTATCCAATTATCACCAAGGAACAAACCAAAGGTTGTTTATATAGGGCGTCTTGCCAAATATGATGGTAAAGATCCTCCCAAATGGCTTAAACCAGACGACGGAAATTAATTCATTCGAGACGAATGAATCCCAAGAAGGGGAACAGTGTTACGCCAGTGCCCATGAACACGGCTTAAAGGGATCTGACAGAAAAAGTGAGGATCAGTCAAGTTGACGTTGGGAATGTTAAAATAGAGTTAATTATATAGATTTTGGAAATAAAGTTGTTTTATATAACCCTGGGTCGTTTCAATATTTATCAAGACTACCATGAATATTGATTAGATTTTTGAGTATATATACGCATGGCAAAGGCAGTATTCGATGTTTTTTAAACAGGGCCTTGCAGGGCGTATCATACTCTGCACCATCGACAATGCGCACTGCAGCTTTCTGTAGTACAAAAACCTTGTGTGAGTGACTGGAATTTCCCCATAGCACTGGGCCGTAAGTAAGTTGGCTATGGATTATTCCATAATAGACGGTTTTTAATGGTGTCGTATCAAGTACATTTCGCATTTGTCTGAGAGCAAATAACTGCGTGGACAGTTTCGAACAGAGACCGTCAATATGACTATTCCAGTTAAGTCCAGCATCTATTGTTACACCGAGAAGCTGTACTGGCTCCGATTTCTCTGTCATTTTACTAGACGTAAAAGCAATTGACTGGTTTTTGTTTTCATTTAATTTGAGCTCGTTTGAGTCAAACCACTTTTTGGCCATTGAGACACACTCTGTGTTAGAAGCTACATTGTCTTTGGTCAGAATAGTCGTATCATCAGCGAAGAGGATGACAGTGGCGCCTTCAATTGCTTTTGGTAAATCGTTGATATATATTATAAAAAGTAAGGGACCCAAAACAGAGCCTTGAGGCACCCCTCTCTCCACAGATGACATTAACGACTCTGTTTTCGGTGATGAAGGTAACTCGAAAGTAAGTTTAATATTTTGTCTCTTATTCCATAAAACTCTAATTTTTTAAGTAAAATCTCAGTGCTGACGCAATCAAAGGCTTTAGATAAGTCACACATAGTAGCCGTAGTACTAGTACCATTATCCATGCCATCAACTACGTCATCAATAACAGATAAGAGAGCTCTAATAGTAGATTTATGCTTCCTGAACCCATATTGATGTGTAGATAGAATATTTTTTGTTTCGAAATAATTAATTAATTTTTCTTTCAAGATTTTTTCCAATATTTTGCCTATGATAGGAACAATTGCGATTGGTCTGTAGTTATCCAAAGAGTTTGTATCTCCCTTTTTATGTATGGGCACGACTCTGCTAATTTTTAGTTCATCAGGCCAAAACCCTTCTTCACAGCATTTGTTAAATAATAAACAAAGTGGTGTAACGATAGACTCTAGCGTCATTTTTACCATAGAACTATTTAGACCATAGTAGTCTACAGATTTAGAGTCTTTTAATTTAAGGATGGCTAGCTTTACATCAGACTCAACAATGGGTGGCATAAAAAATGAAAAACTAGGTTTCGGCAGCTTATTGATGTATGTGTAAGGACTTATATTACTATTATTTATAGTGGCGACAATCATGCTAGCTACGGAGACAAAGAAAAAGTTTAACTCCTCAGGAGAAAGCGTTGATGTTGTATGCTTGTTTTTATTAGCATTTCTCTCAGTGTTAACGATTTCCCATACAACTTTACTTTTGTCATCTGATTTCTCAATCAGATTTCTAAAATATTCACGCTTTGTTTTTCTTAAGGCCCGTTTATAGTTGCTGCGTGTTTCTCTGTAAAAATTCCAATCAATAATTGAATTTGATTTATTAAAACGTGCTTTCTTTAAGAATACTTCCCTTCTCTGTTCACGAAGCTTCTGATTGTACCACTTTGTCCCTTTACTTCGGCTCTGGTATTTTTTAGTGGGAAAGCAGTTGTCGCTGGTGGCTTTAAAAATTCCCAATAGTTTTTTGCACATATCGTTAGCTTGTAAGACATCAAGTTCCAGACCACTCCAATTTACATCTAAAAGAGATTTCGCAAAATTTTCCAAAGTTTTCGGATTTATATTGCGCCTTGTTTTATGTTTCATATTATTATTAGTTTTTTTGTTATTAATAATCATAAAAACACCAGTGTGGTCAGCTATATCCATATCTACAATTCCAGTTGAAATATCGAAAATGTGTATATTACTTAATATGTTGTCAAGTTTTGATCTGGATGTAGGTGTGATGCGTGTGGGAACGTGGATAAAATGCTGCAAACCATACATTGCTGCAATATTACGAATATCCTTAGCGTGTTCCGTATTTCCATCGAGGTCACAATTAATATCGCCCAATACGCTTATAAATTTATATTTTTTAGACATATCACGTAACAATTGATGTAATTTGTCTTTAAAAATGTTCACGTCGCCATTACTAGATGATCTGTACGTCGTAATCAAAACACTGTTTTTGTTGGCAATTTCAACTCCGCAAAATTCCGCGTGGACGGGTACAGAGAACTTTGAGCAATTTACATTTGTTAAATTAACATTTGTAGTTGAGTAAATTGCGACCCCCCCAT